CTTTCGACTAATGTTTGCATTTCCTCACCGTTGTTGGCTACCCTTCAATCGAGAAATAGTCGATGGTTCTTTCCGGTAATTCCTAGGGAATCGAGAAATATTTTTTAAACATTATTTAACTTTCGGAAGTTTTTATTCATTTTTAAATTTCCTGTTTCATCCAACTTTCCCTGGAATTTTCCCGGAACTTCAAGAATGCTATCAGATTTTTATTGTGGATCCACACTGGCCACACATATAAGAAATTCTGAAGCTTCAGGACTTTTGTGTAAGTTTCGATAAATTAATGACAGTTTCATTAACTTCTGTTAAAATTAAAAAAAAACCGGGAATTTCCGAAAAGTCCAGTGAACTCCAGTGAACTTAAGGAAACATCATAAATATTTTGGAAACTTCACAAGTCCAAAGAACTTCCGGGAAATTTAATGTTTTTCAGGAACTTTAGCGAAGCTCAGAGAACATCAGGACAGATCAATTAATTTCAATGAAATTGCTGAAATTATAAACGAGTTCTGAGAAACTCAGGCAATTTCCGAAAACTTCAGCAATATCCTGAGGAGCTCATGCAAATTTAGGAAACGTAAGGGAAGTTACATGAACATTAGAACATTTTGAGAAAATTTTATGGGAAGTTCTATGCTTTTTAATGTACTGCCATTTAAATTAATAACTTTTTTAAATTAAAAAAAAAAAGAAAATCGGGAAGGTCAGAGAACTTCAATGCTGATGTTACAATAAATTCTAGAAAATTGTGAGAGCACTTAAGAGATTTCATAATCTTCAAGAAAGTCCAGAGTTGAAGCTGATTAGAGATATTTTGGTAATCTTATTATAATCAGGGAGGAGGCTTTGAGGATGACCAGAGAACTCCAAAATAGCCCCTAATTTCATGAAAATAACAAGAACTTTTAAGGAATTTCGAGAAATTATGGAATAAGTGCATTTCAGGAATGTTCCGAAAACTTCTGGGAAATTGCAGAGTCTTCAGGGATGTTTTATAAATATCAGGAAAATTTTCTGGATCATTAGAACATCCCCCAGAAATCTTTTTCTTCCGGAATTATGTCCTTGTTTCTTTCGACTGTTCCGTAAGCGCTCTGGCTTCCGACTTTCTTTAGATGTTTCTTCAAAGAAAGTTTCTGCCAGCGTCTCCAGGAAGTTCAATTAATTCTCCCAGAAATTTATTTCGTCTTCTTCTGGAAGTTTGACCATAAGCCAAAGGTTTTTTTTTGTCGACTTCTGTTGGAAGGCTTCTTCGAGCATCTTTTGGCTTTCCCTGGAAACATCAAGGAATTTACTTCCGGCTTCCGAAACTTTTCTGGCTTCGTTTGGATGTGACATCCGATTTTTTTCGATAGTTTATTTAAATTTTCGCCACAAGTTTCTCAATTCGTGTCTTGGAAGTTTCCCGGATGTTTTTCCAGCTTATCTCGAACTTCATCCAGGAGATCTTCTTTCGTCTTTCTCTGGATGTTTTTCAGCTCCATGCAGCAGCTAATTCAAACATTTCCCGGAGTTTTCTTCCGGAATTTTCCGATCATAGTTCAAAAGCTAAAATTTGGCTTTGATTGATGGCTTTCTCAGTCTTAAAACACTGAAACGACTACGATGTAATCTGCCAGACATTTCGGTCATGGGTTGTGGCTTTTTTTTTTAAGGGAAAATATTGTTTGTCGTTATTGTCAATAGTTTAGTCGTTGTTGTGGCTGATTTTTCATAGTTTGGTTTCATTTAATGATATTTCAACTTGGTCACAATTTTGATCACGACTTGAGGAAAATAAAGAAGAGTTTTAAGACTGAGAAAGCCGTCAAACAAAACAATTCCTCTCAAATCCCAGTCGTCACCATCGTTAAAATTTTCGCTTTCAAAAAACGGCAAAAATATAAAATTAAATAAATAGTAAATACCGATAAATACCGATTTTTTCATACCTTTGCTACCGATAAGCTTTAAAACAATCTGGCAACTCTGGTCCCACCTTTCAAAAATAAACACGCTAAGAAAGAAGGGTAATTTTGAAATTCCCCATCTGTCAATTTTAAGTGAAAATACACCAATAGAAACATAGTCTAAGGAAAAAAACAAATTGGGCCATTTTGAAGAATATCTTAATATCATTTTTTCAAATATAGGTAGGTATTTTAGGGATTTAAAATAATAACAAAATTTACTTCAAACTTCAAGATCCCACAATTTTGTTTTAATTCCCCAAGCTGGAATTTACTATAGTATTTCAACAAACAAACACTAAGCGTGTTTTGATTAAAATGTCTCATGCATGATAATGGTTCAGTAAAGATTACTATGCACATGGCAACCAGTTTGGAAGATGATTCAGTTCAGTGAAATCAAAGATAGTTTGAACCTCCAACAATGTTTCCGAGAGTAATTCCGCTTATCTCCCAACTGCGACTGACAGAATTGCTCTCTTTTTGAAGAAGAGATTTTCGTTCGGATGCACTCGTACTCAAATGCTCCAGCATGGATCATTATCTCTGGAATATGGGTAAAAACTGACCCTCGAGTAGGATTGCGGCTACGAGGCACGCGAACGTCTATTATCAACGCTGATTGTGTACGTCCGTCAGTCGTTCGGCCGTCTACTGGCCGCATCATCTACATCATCAACGAGCGTCTTTATATTCAAATCTAATAAACTTCAATGAGGCCCTGTAGACTATAGACTTCTTCGCACACAAAGTGTGCACTGTGTCGTGTATGGGGATGAGTTGTTCTCTGTGAATGTAAGACGCGAGATTCTATCTAGAATTTATCATTCCCATGGCAAAATGTCTGAGCTTCACGAGACGAAGGCTGTGATAAACGCTATCGGTAGAGATGTTCAACGGCTGGTGGGAAGTAGATTTTTAAATAGTTTTTAATTAAAACCTTCTCTATCAACTAGGGTTCTCTTAGATGTGTAAAAGAGTTATAAAACATTAGTTTATACATAAGTTTGTCTACGGTTGTATAATATATAGAGTTGCACGCGATAATATTGATTGCTTTTGTTAATTTTATTCGAATTTCAAGTTGAAACTGCAACGTGCGGGAAAGTATTGTATGTACCTATATATGGATAGAAAGACAGGCAAATTTGAGAGACAGACTAATAAAATCGTAAACACATAGTATCCACAGAATGAATGAAAGTTTTCCGCCCCGAAATTGGCACGAAACGGAAATGATAGCACTCGAAAAAAAAAAAACAAAAATCATTGAAACGCGTCATTCAGCGAGTGCTTGGATCACACACACCCTTATTTGTTGGGTGCCGCCCTCTCTGAACAAAGCTTTCAATAATAATGCAAAATAAAACAAAACACACAGGATGACAAAAAGTTGGAAATTTACTATGGATGAAACAATTTTCAATGATTGATGATTGATCGTTCAATTTACAAATTTTAATGAATGTGAGCCTTGAATGTGCGAAGGTGTAAAATTAAGCTGACCGGTGTAGAACGATGTCCTTCAAGTTCAACTGTTCCGCCCCTCTCCAACCGCGAGATAAGCGCGAATGAACCATTTGGCCTCAACCAAATGGCACGCCGAGGCAAAAGCTGTTTCGTGACCATTCTTGCAAAAGGTGGAAGGTTTAAGTTCCGCGTGTTTTTAATTTACTTCCACTGCTCCTACTCACATCTCCCTCCAGGACTGGTTCTGCATTTTTCCACGCCGTTTTGGCCATATCGATTAGTGTCCTTATTCTTGGCCTCGATCTATTTTCTCCGCATTACTTTCGCCCAGTCCGGTTCACCTACATATTATACATGTGCATAGTAGCAGGAATGGCTAACACCATGTATTTATTGCCCATGTGGCGTGTCGTTTGGGGAGTAGGTTCGGAGGGTTGGTACGACATGCTGAGTGCTGCTTTCCCGTCCCAGAGCTTAGAAGGTACAATTTATGCAGGACGTTTGCCGGTTTTTTTTTTCGCTAAACAGTCCTACCTATCTTAGGTGGTGAGCGCCTTGTTGTGATTTTATGTTTATTGGCGGCGACGACAGTGTTGGTTTTGATTGCAGTTTAACGTGAACGAGTGAAGGAGTGTCGTCAACGCTAATTGTCACCAACCAGTTTTGTGACACGTGTTTTCTTTTAAATATTTAAAATATGTGTGTGTATTAAATTATCCAGGGCTAATAAACAAAAGGTTGCCTGTAAATATACCTTTGATCTTTACTAGTCTTTAGCAATAAGTTGTTTTAAAACTGCGACGAGAAGTGTGTTTCTGATTCGGTGAGAGCGGTTGAGTTTATTTTAAATTAAGTTTAGTATGCGCATGATTTAAGTTTTGTTAGATTCATAAACTGCTTCATTAAAAACAAGGTTTCGTTATTACTGTTATGAATTTCCAAATGCCACTTTATGTTCAACCATACTGTATACCGTTTTGATTTATACTCCGTAAAGATTTCATTTCCAAACTTGAACTGAATTTCAATGTAAAATCCTAACCAAAACACCTCGCACCGCTGGAACACATCTCCTGAGTCCGATTATCATCTACATATAATAAAACATAGCTAAAGAGAAGCGAATACCGATTCTTAAACTCTAGTTGCAATAGTCAGTAAATATGTACAATTTCATCTCTATAAATACTTAGCTCACTTAGCGCTTCAGTCGAACATATGTGAAAGTAAATATAAGAAGAACCAGAAAAGTCGTGCGAGCATGTTTATCATCCTACTAAAAGCCACTAGTAGTAGATGCATAAACTACGAACGCAATGGGTATCGCCTTCCGGCTACTTAAATGAGCTTGCTCTGTGCTTACTATATGTGTGATAATAAATTTTGCGATATGCTACGCTCGTTCTCTCGCAAAAAAAAACTACTTCTGGAGCATTATCCACGCTGTGTCGCGTCTTGTCCTGTGCGATTCGAGACAACACTCTACTTAGCCGAGAGTTTGTAGTATGTGCGTATTTTTTTTTAAAAATGTTTTGATGCGGTTGGCACTGAGTGATAAGACTATTTACGTCGTTACATTTTGCACACTACTCTCAGCATGGGTTGGAGAAATTTGCATTGCTTTTTTGAAGCAAATTGAACTCGGTTGCTACTGAGTTGCAATTTATCGGCGGAGTGCGAGAAATGGAAAGACATTTCATATCGGTAAAAAGTAGCGACGATTGTCCTATTGTTGTGGCTGTGGCTGATGTAGGTGCCAATTACTGGTAATGCGACCAGTTCGACCTCGCTGCCTGGACCTGCTGCTGGTGTAAGTCGAAGCCGCCGCTGTCAGGACAGGTGACGCAGTTTCCTCGTACACGGACGGTGCTGGACAGCCTGTAAAGAGGAAATTAACCCATCTGTCAATAAATCATGAAAAGAGAATGGAAAGGCACACGTTGTTCAATCGTTGTCCTTTTCCCATGTACCATGTACGCTGGCGTTCGGAGGCTTGCTGAGCAGCATGTTCAGTGGCCCAACCGACCCTATTCACGCTGCTGGTTTCGTCCGTTTTTACAATCCACTTCAATAGATTATAAATGCTTCCTAGGACGGCCAGAGCACTCCCTCCATACGTACTCAATTAGTTATGAATTTTTAACCCCACAATCTAACCAGTTCACCGAATCGAAAATCAATACTTACGACAAACCGAGCAGCTCTCCTCGTCACTTCCGTCGCCGCAACCGTCTCGGCCGGAACAAACAATAGCCGTTGAGCGGCAATTTCCGTTACCGCAACGCAACGGGCAGTAGTTTCTGCTGCGACTGTTTGGCCCAGACAGCAATTTGACAAAGAAATTCGGTACCGATCGTGATCCGCACAGATGTGGAGGTTCATCGCTCCCGTCGCGGCACGACACGATCGCATTGCAGTACTCGTACTCCGGAAGGCACTCTCCGCTTCGGCACATGAACGTATGCTCCGGACACTTGCGGGACTTGCGGAAATCACAACCTACCTCGTCCTCACCCTGGGGACATTGGATCTTTCCGTCGCAGATGCCTGCCCGCGAGATGCAGCGGCCACTCTTCTCGCAGCGGAATGACAGGGCCGGACAGTTGGTGATGTTGGATTTCAGCGAAAAGTTGCACTCCTCGTCCGAGGCATCGCTGCAATCCGGACGACCGTCACACACGAAGAACCAACTGATGCAGATTCCACTCGAGCGGCACTGAAAGGGAATGGGAATGATTTGTGAATGTATAATTAGTTGCAATGCAAGCTAAACTGGCGTTTGGCGGTCAAACGGACTTTAAATCAAACCGTTTTCCGCCAAAACTCGTTTTTTTTTTATTGTGCCATACTCTGCACAACTCGCTATTATGTCGCCAGTACCAAATTAAAGTTCGAAAGTCTGACTTCCGATTTACTTCCGTCTTCTACGAAAGTCATGACGCTAAGATTGTTGTTGTTGTTGCTGAGATCGACACCACCGAGCAGCTCGGCATTTTATTTTACTGGAACTCAGTGAAAACTTCCCGATATTTAGCTAACAAACGGAAAGTTTGCCGAGTTCTTAGCTAACAAACAGAAATTTTGCTGAGATCTCAGAAAAAATAAATGCCGAGCTGCTCGGTAGTGCCAATCTTAGCAAACAATCTAAGTGTGTAGGGACTAAATCAAATTTGAAATATTGCGGATCGTCCGGCGGCTACCGTAGAGTAGCAACTGTCGAAGTTCTACCACTAGTATGAAAATGAGATCAATACTGAAAAAAACATAGTGTGCCATGACAAACTTGAAGTATTTTTGCCGGAGATTCTTGGAAGTCTTGTTATTTGATAGCTGCGGTGGATCTTTGTGTTCTTGAAATTAATACGTGATTCAAAAATAAATATTTGGATTAGCAATATATATTCATGGTTTTATAAGTGAACACACTTAGATAAAAAAAATTAAAGGGTTGTGTACTAGACACGACCACAGTATGACGTAAAACCACGCAAAATTGATGTTTGTCATGCATTTTGACTATTATACTTATTATTATGAATGGGGCGGGGTATAGAACGCATCTTTTGTGCAGAATATGGAAAAAAAAGGATGAACTTTGGATGTTAATCTAATTGCATATATAGAGGTACCAGATATGTTTTACAGTCAGTTGTTGGTAATTTACCAACATAATATCATCGGATGTATGTCTCCTCTTAAGCAATTATTTTGTAAATTTTGGCTATTGTTTTTACTCATATTTGTAGTTTGCCTAAAATTTATTTCCCGGAAAAAAAAAGTGATCGTCAAATCCATGTCTTTTTTGAGTTGACGTTGTAGACGGGGGGAGGGGGAGAGAGGTATTTTGCATATCCAAGTTTCATTCCTCATTATGTGACAGGTGATCACGCCGTGATCCACCTTTATCCACTGACTTGGTCCTTGCTACAGGACCAAGCGCCACACCGTCCGAAGCGGTAATGAGCATGACAGCAGCGCTGTTTTATATCTTTTCAGGTTCAAGCAGAACGATGTGCAACCACACCTGACATGGTTTTCCGCCGTTTTTTATGAATGGGACGGGACACAAAGTTTCTTTTAAAAAAAGGATGGACTTTGGATGTTAATCTAATTGCATATATAGTGGTACCAGATATGTTTTACAGTCAGTTGTTGGTAATTCATCGAATGTATGTCTCCCCTTAAGCAATTTTTTCTTGAAAATTTTAGCTCTGCGTGTAAAAAATTGTTTTTACTTATATTGTGGTTTGCTTAAAATTTATTTCCCGGAAAAAAGTGATCGTCAAAGTCCATGTCTTTTTCGGGTTGTTGTTAAGGGGGGTTGGAGAAGTTTTTGTTAGGGGGGAGGGGGTTTTACATGCGTAATTATCCAAGTCTCATTCATCATTGTGATCCACCTTTAGCCGCTAGTGCCACGCCGTCCGAAGCGGTAATGAGCAGAGGCAGGAAAGCAGCGCTGTTTTATATCTTTTCAGGTTCAAGCAGAATGATGTGCAACTAAGTGGTTTTCGTTTATGATGACTGGGTTTGGAGAAAACTTTTAGTACATGAAAACATTTTTCAAAAGTTTTTTGACCAAAAATTGGAAAAGTATTTACTTCAGCAGATTTGTTAAGTAATATCCTATCGATTGGCGTATTTGGATTTTCATTTCATTAATAAATGACAAAGTTACAAGCGTTCAAAACCTAACACTATTTCACCACACATATTTTTTAAATTTGTACCAGTATAGACGACAAAGACGTAGTTCTACGTCAAAAAAACATGTTAATTTAGGTACTTTAAGACTGACATATACGAGCGACAATATTGATATAAAATTGAGTCATAAAATACGCAAGATTCAGCTTATTCAAACGTACTATTCGTCGAGTAACGAACGACTCAGTCTCGGAACACTTAATTCTGCATAACATGTTTAATTAAGTCTCACTCTTTATGTTAAAGATAGACTCCGCCACGTTTTTAATTGTTTCTGAGTTTGTTCTAAGCTTGTATCAAAACAAATGTTGTACAGAATGAAAAAAATATGAAATTTTTGTTGATGGCAATTAGAGGACCAATAACTGGCACATTTACCATAGTTTGACCACAGACAAACAGACATAACAATTGAATATTTCTTACTGTAAAACATCGTCGCTAAAACATTACCGCTATCTGTTGAGTACACTGTGGTGGGCACTACACTGAACAGATGGCGGTAGTGTGTAAACGTCAAACGCAAGGGAATTGACTATGCGCGCCACAGGGAGTGCTACCAACTACGATACTTTTAAATTGTCCGTTAAATGCTTGTTCGATGAACAACTTGCGACTGTTATGTCTGTTTGTCTGTGCTAAACCTGTTCAAGTGATTAAAACATTTTTCAAATAACTGCGATTTTGATAAAATTTACGAACTCGCACTTTGAAAATGATAGTGATTTTTTAACTTGAAATGTCATTCTTTCTTTGAATTATAAGCTGCTTTTTGAGATGTAAGGGATACTGGACCCATTTTCAGGGCTTGGTCAAACCGTAACTGAACTCATATAAGAATTGAAAACTAAGTTCAATGTTGGTCATATTGTGCCCAGGACCACATTTGCTAAACCCGGCATGTTTCGTTTAACCATTAGGAAGCTACCAGTTTCAGCCTTGGGTAAAATCCCATCATGAGGTGTTTGAGCTTTCGCTCCGCTTTTTTTATCTATAGAAAACAGTTCCGTTCCGTTCATTATAGTTAAATTCTATAGATCCCTGATCAACCTCCAACATCCAATCACAGGCAAACAGACATAACACATTGAATATTTTTCACTATAAACCATCGTCGCTAAAACACTACCGCCATCTGTTGAGTATCCTGTGATGGGTAGTACGCTGAACAGATGGCAGTAGTGTGTAAACGTCAAACACGAGGGAATTGACTATGCATGCCACAGGTGGCAGTACTACCAACATAAAAAAACATGTATATGGACCGTTCAATGCGTGTTCGATGAACAATTTGCGAGAGTTATGTCTGTTTGTCTGTGATCCAATCGTTCGATTCAGCCACACCAAGAAGAAGCGACCTGAGGAGGATTCCATTAGTGACATTTTGTAGCAGTTGTTCAGAGCCCGGAAAAGTTGTTGATCACAGTCAAGCATACCAGTTTTGGATGAGATCATTCCAATTTTATCTATATTTTTACAATTTTATACGATATTTTCAGAACATAACCGCTAACATAGGGGCCTCATAGCCTAGTCAGTAAAGGCACGGTATTACCAAGCCGGAGGCGGTGGGTTCGATTCTCGGTGCGGTCGAGGGAATCTTTCGGGTTGGAAATTTTCTCGACTTCCCTGGGCATAGAGTATCATTGTGCTTGCCACACAATATAAAAAATTCATGCATTGGTATTCGCATCGAAAGCTCTCAATTAATAACTGTGGAAGTGCATTTAGAACACTAAGTTGAGAGCACACAATAAGCTAATATGCGCTAAGCAATAAGCTTGAAATGCGAACAAGAAGAAGAACCGTTCACCTAATGTGCACATCTTAATATTCAGGAGCCTTATTGGAGAAGTCGAAACGAAGCGTTTTTCGTATGAACACTTGTACGAAAACAGTCGTTTCGACTTGATTTTATAATGTGGCCCAGGTAGTTAACAATTGATTCCAGAAGTTAACTCATTTTTGCCACAAAGTTACATGGTCCCTCCAATTATGATAAGGTGAAAATATCATATGAAAAATTGTCACCTCCAACTATAAAAAGGGGGGACCAAAGGGAAATATCATATGAAAAATTGCTACCTCCAATTATGAAAAGGGGGAGATCAAGGTGAAAATATCATATGAAAAGTTTTTGCCTTCAATTATGAAAAGGGGGACCAGATGAAAATATGATATGAAAAATTGTCACCTCCAATTATGAAAAGGAGGGACCAAGATGAAAATATCAAATTTATTTATTTATTTATTTATTTATTTATTTATTTATTTGTCTGCATCAACAGGCTGTGTATAGCCCCAATGATGATTTAAATAACTTTTATAGGTAAATCAAAAAATAAAACCTAAGAATAAAATACATAAATAAAACACACAATCATTCACGGTTAACTGTGCCAGAAAAGAACGATGAGAAGTATCTTCGTAGCAGCTGTCGAGGCATATGGAAATCGAAGATGACCGAGACTCGATTGAACACTCGTTGCAGCCCACCTATTGCACCGTTCATGCCATAGTTTGTGCGCTGAAGTGGCAATCTCAGCATAACGTTGTTACGTAGCGCACGGGGTTGGACGTTAATGTTGACTTGCCCCAAGATTGCACTGCAATCAATTCTACCTTGTAAAGTGTCCGCAATAAACAGGGCCCTAGAGGTGTCTCCTCTAGTTCGGAGAGGCTCCAGATCAATCAGCTGGCAACGACTTTCATAGCTGGGCAGATGAAATGGGTCTCTTCAAGGCAGCTTCCGCAGAGCGAATCCAAGAAAACGGCGTTGAACGGACTCAACTCTCTCAGCACCATTGTTGTAGTTTGGACTCCAGACCACAGAACAATATTCCAGAATGGATCGCACCAAGGAACAGTACAGTGACTTCAAACAGTAGATATCGGAGAAATTCTTTGCTATCCTGAAGATAAATCCCAATGTCCTAGACGCCTTGTCGACAACGTACGAGATGTGCTGCTTGTACTTAAGTTGAGAATCCAGAATAACACCCAGATCTTTCA